TGAACCAGGCCTCCAATTCTTTTTGCTCTGGTTATTTTGGAGATAGGGTCTCACTTTTTGCTCTGGACCTTGATTCTCCATTTTAGGCTTCCCTCTGTGGCTGGGATGACAGGCGCACATTGTATCGTACCTAACTTTTTCCATGAAGATGGGGTCTCCCTAACTACTGCCCCCCAAGCAGGCCTGGAACCTCCATCCTCCCAATCTCAGCCTCCCACTGCTGGCGCCCAGTGCATCAACCACTTTTGAAGACTGGTGATGTGCCTGACTGTGTCTCCCAGCAGACTGCCAGCCTCCTGAGGACAGGACAGAGTTGGAGTCACTGCTGGATCCCGGGTGCCCAGCATGACCTGGTATGCAGAGGTTCTTAGCAAATGCGGGTGGGTGAGCCGGCTGGATTTCCACGTGGAATTCTGCACGAGGCTGTGTTGGGAGTGGGGAGCACCCACCTCTCCAGCATGGAAAGGGCAATTCCCACAGATGCGCGATGAGGCTGAAGCCGCATGGGAAAGCCTGGCCTTGGAAAAGCAGCTCTCGGGGGCAGTGGCGGGGGAGGACTGGGCAGGAGCCAGGTGCCGTGTGTCCCTACCTCCGGACACCAAAGGCAGCCTCCTGTCAAGGTCCGGATGCCTGGACTCTCTGTATCCAGGTTCCTCATGTCCCCACCCCCCCCCACTGCCACACGCACACATAACTGCAAAGGGGACCAGGGAGATGTTACCATGGCAACAGCCCCAGGGTTAATTGTGTGGCTTGCATGTGGCTGATGGACCCAGATCTGCAGTAATGCTGCCTGCCCAGCAGCCTCAGGCTGAGGAGCAAAAATGATACCCCCAAGCTGGTGCTAGTGTCTCACACCTGCAATCCTAGCTACTTGGGTGGCAGAGATCAGGAGGAATGTGGTTGGAGGTCAGCCTGGGCAAATAGTTACTGAGACCCTATCTCAAAAACACAGTAAGAGGACTGGCAGAGTGATTCAAGTGTTAGAGCGCCTACCTAGCAAGTGTGAGGCCCGGAGTTCAAACCCCAGTACTGCCAAAAAAAAAAAGACACCTCCAGCCCCAAGCAAAGACCTGAAGGAGGAGCCACTGTTGCCCAGACTTGAAGGCATGTCCTTCCTGGCGGCCTTCAGCCTCCTGCCCAGGGAAGCAGCAGCTGCTACTGTAGCCAAAACCCAGGAGAGAGGCCTCAGCCATGGCTCCCACTAGTCTTGAAGAAGGAGACTCAAAGAGGAACAGCCCAATTCTGCTCTCAGGTGGACAGGAAACACGGCTTATCTCTGACTGTGATAAACCCTGCCGTCAGGTGACATCAGCCAACCTGATACGTACAGCATGGCTAGATCTTCGTAGCACAGCCAAAACAAGCCGCAGCCCAATGGGGATAAGTGTCCTGCTATTTCCAACACACAGGCTCAAGTGGTAGAGAACTTGCCTAGCAATCAGCAGGCCCTGGGTTCAATCCCCAGTACCACACACACGCATACACATGCACACACACATGCACACACACACATGCACGCACACACACACATGCACGCACACATGCACACACACACGCACACACACAGAAGAAATCATACTCAACTTTTCCTACGGGTGCATAAAATGAGCACAAATTTTAAACTGGGAAAGGGTCTGGAAGGACAGACATCTGGCACCCAAGGATTCAGTCACCTATGGCAAGTATTTGGAAAACCATGTCACCTTTTTCCTGACATATGCCATGTAGCCAGGCCCATCATGGCATCTGTCCTGAACACGTACAGACTTTTTTTCTTGTCATTATCCCCTAAACAATGCAACAGAGATTTGCATAGCGGGTACACTCTATTTGGTATCATAAGTAATCCAGAAATGATTGAAATGATGGGAGCAGCAATAAAAAAGAATGAAATCCCATCATTTGCAGCAATGCGGACGGAACTGCTCAGCGTTATGTTAAGTGAAATAAGACAGGCACGGAAAGACAAGTGGCGCCCGTCCTTGCTCACACATGCAAGCTAGAGCAGTAGATCTCACAGAAACTGGTTGCAGAATGGTGGTCACCAGAGGTTGCCAGGAGAGTAGGGGAGCAAGGGATGGGAGAGGGCGGGCAAAGATTGCTGAGTTACAGTTAGAGAGGAGAGGGGAGCTCTGGGTGCTATTGCATGGTAGGGTGGCTATGGAGGCAGGAATGCACTGTATATTTCAAAACATTGTAAGAAGCCGGGCACTGTGGTTTATACCTGTAATCCTAGCTACTCAGGAAGCAGCGATCAGGAGGATCATGGTTCAAAGCCAGGCCCAGGCAAATAGTTCATGAGACCCTACCTCAAAAAAACCCCTTCAATATAAAAGGGTTGGTGAAGTGTCTCAAAGTGTAGGCCCTGAGTTCAAACCTCAATATTGCGAAAACACTATAAGAAAGGATTTTGAAAAAGTTCCCCATAAAGAAATGACAAATGGCATAGAGTGCTTGTCTAGCATGTACAAGGTACTGCATTCAATCTCCAGCACTGTATGGCAGGGGAAACAAACAAACAAAGAAATGACAATGGCTTGAGGAAATGTTTAATTTGATTTAAACATCATACAGTGTAGAAATGTATCAAAATATTGTATGGTACTTCACTGATATGTACAGTTTTTATGCTTTTATGTATGAGTTAAATTAACTGGGTATAGTGATGCATGCCTATAATCCCAGCACTAGGGAGGCCAAGGCAGGAAGATCAAGAGTTTGAGGATAGCCTGGGTTACACAGGTAGAGCCTGTCTCAAAAACACAAAACATTGAGCCAGGAACCAGTGACTCACGCCTGTAATCCTAGCTACTCAGGAGGCAGAGATCAGGAGGATCGTGATTCAAAGCCAGCCCAAGAAAATAGGGCTGGTGGAGAGGCTCAATGTGTAGGCCCTGAGTTCAAGGCCCAGTAAGGCAAAAAAAGAATTAAAAAAAAAAAAAGTTGAGCAGGGAGGTGGTGGCTCACGTCTGTAATTCTAGCTCCTTGGGAGGCTGAGATATAGAGGATCGTGGTTTGAGACCAGCCTGGGCAAATAGTTCAAGAGACCCTATCTCCAAGATAACCATAGCAAAATGGACTGGAAGTGTAATTCGAGATGTAGAGTACCTGCTTTTCAAGCATGAAGCTCTGGGTTCAAATTCCAGCTCCACCACAAAAAAAAAAATCAAATACAAATAAATAAACTTTAAAAAATAAAAAAGTATATAGGAGGGTGTGGGCTTTGTTCAAGTGCTGTGCCATTTTCTACAAGGGATTTGTACATCAGTGGTCCTGGTACCAATCCCTCTGCACAGGGACAACTGCAGAGTCTGCACCGCAGGAGGCTGGAGGGGGACAGAGGGCACAGCAAAGAGACATTAGTTTCATCTTTCTTTTATGTAGATTGGATTCCTATTTTTCTGTGCTATCAAAAATATCTTTGAGTTAAAATAAAATGTCTTTGCTGCTCTGACCACCCTACTTAACACTGATGCCACCCCTGCACCCCCCACCCCCCACCCCTGCCTCCCACGGGTGGGCTCCCTTCTGCAGTGTTCCCCGAGCTATCACCTCCCTTCCTAGGCCACGGGGTCAGCAAACTCCAGCCTGTGAGGTAAATCCAACCCATGGCCTGCTAAAGATAGTCTTCTATGTTTTAATGGCAGAAAATAAAAGGACGGTAGGTTTATAACACCTGAAAATTCTATGAAACTCAAGTTGCAGCATCCATAAATGACATGTGACCGAACACAGCCTGCAACTTGTTCACATCTTGTCTCAATCTACCAGGAAGTCAGAACCAAGTGGCTGTGTGACCCTTGCAGATAAAGTCAGCTGACCCCTGCTGGGCTTTGCTGTGACCTCTTATGCCTCCCAAGTGCCTATGACGGGTGGCACCTGGAGCATAATAGGTGCTTAGTAAATCTGGCCGATGGCCTCATCACATGTGCTTTTTATAGCTCAGCCTGGCAGACATCACCACTCTTTCTGGTCTCCTTGAGCACCAGAGAGGCATCCTTGACCAGCAGTGTTGCATGCTCCACATCCCGGAGAAGACACTGCAGAGAGTGGCAGAGCCTGGATTTAGCACGGTCAAAGCGGACCCCTGATCTCTGCAGCTTTGTTTGGATACAGGCATCACCCCACAATGACCCCTATCCACAGCTGATGGACTGTGCTGCGTTTTGGCACCCTCTGGTGGCCACCTAGAGTGGCTACCTCAACAGCACGTGCGGCCTTAGCCTCCAGGACCAGGGCTCCTTCAGCGGGTCTAACCAGGCTTGGACTCTCTCGGCGCCTTTGGCTCCTCACTCCAGCTCTCTAGAGTAGCCTGGTGTCAAAGCACATCCCCCCGCCAGGACATGGGGAGCTGCTGGCACCTCTCCTAGGGTTGGATTAGTCAGCTCCAGGGCACAGGGGCAGGGCAGAAGAGAAGGCTCACAGACATGATCTGCCAGTCATTACCAGTGTGCACCCATGCTGACAGGGCAGGAGAGTGACCTTGGCCCCTATGCCCAGGGACCTCCCCCATACCAGAGGGAATGGACAGAAGCAGCCTTACATATTTTGTTTTCTGCTTATCTGCAGAGGCTGCCCGGAGGGTAAGGGCCCCTTGGAACAGAGACTGGCTCCATGTTGCATCTTGGGAACAGGGACCATGTCTCTGGCCAGGGTCACACTGCACCTAGCACTGGGTTATGACTTGGATCTGGAACGCCCCTCAAAGGCTCATGTATTGAGGGGCGGGATCTTTGGGGGAAGTGACTGGGTCACGAGGGACCTGACCTCCTCACTGAATTTGGTGGCTATTGGGAAGTACTGGAAACTAGGAGGGGGAGCTGGCCAGAGTGGACCCTTGAGGCTGGGCCCTTGGGGACTATATCTTGTCCCCTGCACAGCCCCTTCCCAGTCCCCAGGAGGCGAGCACTTCGCTCTGTCACACCTCCCATCACCACACTCTGCCTCACCACGCCCCTCAGGATAGGGCCAAGAGACCATGATCTGAAAGTCGGCAGTCAGGAGCTTTGATTTTCTCAGGCGTTTAGTCCTAGTGACACAAAGCTAACACACAGTGGCTATCCTCGTGCTACTTGCTACTGACCCTGTCCCCCTCTGCAAAGAGACTGAGATCAGAGAGGGCCCAGGCAAGTGCAAGCTACCTCAGCAACCCCGGCATCCAGCCAGGGCCTGCCCGAGTAGATGACGGTGGACGGGGGGAGTGGATGGATGTGTGAATAGATGGGGAGATGGATGGGTGAGTGGATGGATGAAGAGACTGACAAGTGGTGGATGGAGTTAGATGGACAGGTGGATGGGCGGACAGATGGATGGATGGATGAGTGGGCATAAGAATGAATGTTCCGTAGAACTGAGCTTAGGAGAACTCTGGGCCCTGACTAGCATCACCTCTCCTACCCCCTACCCCCATCCCATCTCATTGACTCCGTTTCCAACCATCCTGGGTTCATTGCTTGTGTCCATAACCCCCAACCCTGACTCCCTCACACCAAGCCCATGGCTTTGAAGGTTCTAGAGAAACTGGTGCCAAACATAGAACACTGCCCCCACCAGAGATGGCAACCTTTCTCCTGCCCCTTGTCCCAGGCTCCTAGCAGTCACTTGGTTTCTTTATAGCAAGTATTTTAAAAATATGTGTTTGCTTGTCTCCCCATGAAAACACAGGGTGGGGACCTTACCCTTCTCCTCCCATCTCCAGCACCTAAGCAGATTGTTGACTCATCCTGGGGGAGTGAAGACTGCCTTATATCCCTTATTGGTTAATACTTTGAGTACACACGGGTTTCCCCCAGATGCGTGGAGAAGGCAAGACAGGTTCAGCACGAGGGGAGAGATCCGTGTGCCTCCTGGCAGCTGTGTGCTCCAGGCTGCCTCCCTCCCCACTCATCAGGAAAACAAACTACAATTCACAGGGGTGTTGTGAGAGTGGGAGGAGAAAATAAAGTGAAGGCACTTGAAACTAGAAGATACAAGCCACAGGCACCATCCTTCAGCTGCATTTATTGTAGCAAGTACAACCACCCACGGCCACTACCGATTAGTAAGCCAGGGCGCTGCCTGGCCTGTGCCACAGAGCAGTGATGTCTGCTGTGGGGATCCTGCCCACACCCAGCCCACCTGCCTGCAGCTCCCAGCATCCCTGAATGGCTGAGCAGCCAGGCCCCAGAGGGTGACTGTTCTGGTCACAGCACCACAGGGGCCAAAACTGGGCACCATGCTTGTTGTTCAGTTTGCAGAATTTTTAGTTACCAACAACTTAAAAATCTGCATAATTCACAAGAGAACCTGCATTTCTGGCTCCCTGGGATTTCTGATGTCTGTCAGACCTGCATCCCCACCTCACAGCCATTAGCTACAAGTGAACAGACTTGCCAAATCAGACAGCAGTCTGTTTTGGCACAGTCCCCACTGCATCCTATTGTTCCCCAAGGCATGTTTCCTTTGTTACAAAGCTCTCTCCATCCAGTCTCCAGTTAACAGCAGTCAAGTCAAAGTGGTGCAGACTTCAGCAGTCAAATATCTACTTCATTCATTCATCTGAGCTGGGACCTCTGAACAGCCCACCCCTTCTCACATTCAGGTCTGAGGGGGCCGGGCAGGGTCATCCCACACATTCCCCTGCATGTGGCTGATAAGAGGCAAGCTGAGGGAAGCAGCCAAACTGCTCACCTGGGCTGGTTTGCTCCTTTAGAAGTTCAAGTTCTACCAACCTGAAAGTGCTAAGCAAGGTAAGCCCTGGACTGAACCTAAAGCCAGACCCAGGGAATGCAGTGCTGGCGCGCCCTCTGGTGGCCACAATGCAGCGTTGCAGGTCATGGGGAAAGCCGTGAACTAAACCTATAGAACCATCCATCCATTGCCCCCCAAAACTTCGTGGGTACTAAGCCTTAGGCTTCCAGCTACTTCTTTTGCCAAATCTTCTTGACCCCCCATCCCACCATTCAAGTCACTGTCCTGGGCGTTCAGGCACGCACCTCGGTTCCCAGCAGGGCTGGCCTCTTCGGGCAGGGTCCAGCCTCCCCAGTCTTCACATCCTGTGACTTGCTTGAGGCTCGGCCACAGCAGCCTTGTGGGATTTGCAGGAGTAATCCACAGAGGTTGGGTGGGGAGCAACGCCCAGCCCACAGGGGCCAGGCAGAGCACTTAGGTGAGAACAGGCCAGGCAGGACCTCAGTGACCACTGAAGCTTGTATCCTGGGTGGCATTACCACTAAAGAACTGGTATAGCCAGGTGACTATTCTTCAGGGGAGCAGGAAGCTGGACTTTCAAGTGGAATATGCCAATTTTGTAAAAAAGGTATAAACTATCCAAGCCTAAGAAAGCTTGTCAGGAGGCTGGGTCTGGGCCAGGGGGCAAGTTAGCTCTGTTGAGGCCCACTGCAGACAGAACCTCCAAGATGGTGGGCCTGAGCCAGTGGTTTTCAAAGTTTTGTTTATTTGAGTAGTTTGTAGCCATCATCATGTTTGATCCTGAGAGGCAAGCAAGAGAGAGAACATTCTTGGGCCCATTTCAGAGTCTGGGACGCTGAGGCAGAGGTGGGTTCCTGGCAGGTTCAAGGTCACAGTAGAGAAGAGAGCTTGAAACTGCATCAGGCAGTGGCTGGGCAACAGCAGGCCCCAAAGCCCACCCCAAACAGCCATGCAGAAAACGCTGTCCCAGTGTGGGCCAGGGGGACACAGACCTGTACATCACAGTACCTCCTGCCCACCTGGCTGCACCCTCCCTAGTTCCCTGGAGAGCCCACCACCCCAAAAGCAGCGGAGGCAGTGGCTCCCCTGTGTGTTTGTACACACACACCACCCCACCCCTACTCCATGGACAGAGCCCCAAACAGCCAGGCAGAGCTGCCACGGCCCCCTTTGTGGGAGACGGTGCACCATGCTCAAGGTTGCCTCGGGGTCTCAGGTCCAAGCAGACACCTGTAGCTTTGCTCATCATGAGCACAGTAGTGGGTCCTGAGGGCCCCACCAGAGGCCTGGGTAGACCACATGTGTGGCCGTAGCCCATGGCATCCTCACCAGTTGGCCTTTACTGCCTTGATGTCACTCACGAGGTTCTGCGCCAGGCAGATGCCAAATATCTGCAAGACAGAGGGCAGGTGAGAGAAGGGAGGCCAGCCTGGGCAAGGTGCACGGGGCAGGCAGGGTTGTGGCAGTACCTGGAGGAGGGCGATGCCCACGAAGACCCCAGCCACAATGATAAGGTTGTCCTGCAGCCACTTCTCAAACTGGCCCACGCAGCCTTTGGTGTGGATGGAGCCCTGCTGCTCTAGCTCCTAAGAGCACACAGACACCAAGCTTGAGCCTCATCTCAGACCGGCTCCTCCTCCCCTCCAGTTTGCCAAACGCACCCCTGCCCCAGGGTCCTTCCCTGCAGTGTCTGTGACCCGGAGCTCTACCACAGGGCCTTTGCACAGCTGGCTCTTTCTCTGTGGCATCTCAGCATGAATGTCTTCTGCAGAGAAATCTTCTTTGACCACCCAGCCCTGATTCTGTCATCTTCCCTGACAGCCCACACCCAATCTTATCACCTTCCGAGTCCTCAGCTAAAACTCACGGGACGGTCCGTATTTGTGCACCCATGAGACTGTCCCTCTCTCCACTCCTCGAGAGGCAATGCAAGGTCTAGGGCAATGCCAGCCACACCCAGGTAGGAGGAGCAACCCCACCACCCACAGGCCTACTTCCCCAGTCGCAAGGCCTCAGAAACCCTCTCCGCAGAATCCCTGAGGCCTTCCGCAGGAGCTTCTAGAGGCCCATCCTCCCAGTGGCCCCGGCTACCCTCAGCCCTGTCCCCATCCTCTCACCAGCTTGAGCCGGATATCATAGCCACACTGGGTATTGAGGACATCTTCCTGAGGGAACAAGTAATGTGGTAAGGAGTAGTCCAGGAAATGGGGCCCAGGCACTGCAATGGTTTCTCCTCCTTGGGGAAGGAGATGGGAACAGAGGCTCCCTGAGCACCCATGCCTTTCTCCTTGACACCGGGAATATGACTGCAAACTCCAGCTCGGACCTGCCTCCTGCTAAGCAACAGAGAGACACGTGGCCCTTGGAATCCAGATGAAGTGTCACTGCTCACTGTGAACAGAATCTGTCCTGGAAAAAGCCCTAACAGCCAGAACCGCCTGTCTCTTCCCAGCCAGCACGGTGGCCTGGTGAGACCCCTGCCGCACACCCATGACCGAGATGGATGCCAACCCCTTGCCAACTTCAAGCCAGCTGGAAGCACACATTGCCTGGAGCTGTGTTTAGTGGAAAACACAGTGCTGTGAGGCCTCGGGCTGGTCCCCATCCTAGGGGACCTGCTGCTATAAGCAAACAGGCTTGGAGAAGAGGGACAGCAGCCCTGGTTCCAGGGAGCCTCAGTGTGCCACAGACATACTCCCCAAGAAACAACGCCACTGGCATTCATACCCAGGGCAGGGCAGAGCTAGTGGGGCCTGATGGCGGGGTTCTCCTAGAAAGGTCAGCACCCGCTATATCCACCCGCTCACACAACCGGCTCACCGCAGGGTCCCTGACGCAGCAGGAGAAGGGCACCCCGCAACGCTCCCGGCTGGGGTTCAAGTCAGTGCAGTTGAAGTAGATATTGAGGTTCCAGTCATTGGGCCCTCGGGCTCCACAGCAAGACCACTGCATGGGGGGCACATGGAAGAGGGATCTGGGTGAGCCAGGCAGTGGCTGGCAACCAGACCCACCCAGGAACCTTGTCTTGTTTGGGGACAAGCCCAGCTGCAGGAGAGAGGATGTGGGAGAGGTCTAGAGAGCCAAGCCGGGGGGTGGGGGAAAGGGAACATTCCCACCCACAGGAAGCCTGAGGGGACCACAGTGAGCAGGAGCTTAAGAGTTCCAGGCTGGAGGGAGTAGTGGGGTGCAGTTTGCACCCCCCAACCCAGGAGAGGCTAGAAAAGGGAGGGAAGCGATGAAGACATACTGGGGATCAAGGCTTCTTCTGGACCTCCCTGAGGAGCAGGACAAGGCCAAGCCCCGAGGGAACAGCAGCACCCTAGCCCCATGCCCACACTGGGTCTCCCACCCTTGCCCCAGGATCCCAAAACCTTCCCTCTTCACAGTCATGTCCCCAGCCATTCCAGTCCACTTCCATCACTCCATGATCCATAGCATCTCCCAGAGCGTCCTCCTGGCCTCCCCAGGTAGGGATAATGGCAAGAACGAGTCTGCTATGAACCAAGGAGCTTACAGTTCAGTGGTGAAATGGGAGAGTGCAGCCTTCACTGAAAGGGAGACACAGAACTGCAGGAGAGCCAGCTCTTGAGGGCTAGGGGAGCTGAAGAGCAGGACCGCCTCGAAAGACAAGCTGGGGATGGAAGGCAGGTGACTCTGCAGGTGCAGGCCCCAGAACACAGCTCACCTGGCTCCTGGTCCATCAGTAGAGCCCTGCTTCCCCAAAACCATCGCTCCTCCTCCTCTCCTGGGAGCTTCCAGGTCACCACGCAGGCCCGAGGGCACCAGTTAAACCTTCCTTTCTCCACCTTTTCTATTTCAGCCCTTACCACAGGTTGTAATTTCTCATACACACACCTGTCTATTTTTCTTGTTTATCACCTGTCTTCTTGCTGACTGTGACCCTAAGAAAATAGCCTTCACCTTTTTAAATCACAGAGTTCCTGGAGCCTGACCCAGGGGCTGGCACATGGCAGGCCTGGCACAATTCCAGGTACAAGAAACAAAGCACGGGAACTCAGCTACACATCTGCCTCAGCCGTGTCTCAGAGCCCGTTCTTGGAGGTGGGTGGCACAAGATGTGTGGCTCTGAGTGTAACCGGGTGTGGTGGTAAGTGCGTGACCCTGTGTGGGTGTGATTGGGCAAGAACACGCAGCGGGGAGGCAGCTCAGGTTTCGGGGACTGTCTTCTGGCTGCTTCTTCACAGGAATTAAGTTTGCAAGTGGGAGGACAGAGCTGCTATGGAGCCTCAAACTATATTCACAGTCCAAACAAATACAGCCACGCACGGCAGAGCAATGCTTTAGTCAACGATGGGGGCTCCGGAAGGTTCTAACAGAGCAGAAAATTCCTCTTACCTACTGAAGTCACAGCTGCTGTGACATTTCAGCGCAATGCCTCACTCCTGTGTTTATGGTGTAAACCCACACCACTGCCAGTCATATAAAAGTGTAGCACAAACAATAAATTACAAAAAAAAAGGGTACCACCCACATTTGTACAGTCCACAGTACCTGATGAGGATAACCACTATGCTACTGGTTCTGTATTTACCATATTATACTTTGTTAAAGTGGCCTCCTAATTATAAAAAACTGTTTTAAGTCCAGTGTGGTGGCGCTGGACAACTATAATCCAGCTACTCCAGAGGCTGAGGCAGAAGAATCACTGAACTAAGGAGTTCGAGGTCAGCCTGGACAACATAGCAAGACTGTCTCAGAAGAAAAAAAAAAAAAGAATCCTTTTTTGGTTTGTAAGTGTGACATGCATGACATGTGCCTCCTTCAAACCTTGTTACATAGCACATTACCCTTCTGATGTGAACTGAGAAAAAAAAAGTTTACTGTCAAACAGCGTGCCATGTTAGCTGACAACAGCCTCGTCCGTCTCATGTTTACTGAATCTGTTGATGTCATTGAGACGCTTTGCTCAGATTGACCTTAGACCATTGTGTAAGTGCCCTCTGTGACGTCCCCACAATGACAGAATCATCTAGCACTGCATTTCTCTGAACGTGTCTCTGTCATTAAGTGATGAGGGACCGTAATATAAATGAGAGGACAGAGTTGGCAGATATAATAAAACAGAGTGTTGGGGACAGTGGCAAACAGAGTCCCTCTTCCAGTAAGAGTTAATACTCTGGGCCCAGGGTTTGGCAGAAGGGATAATCTGTATTTATATGTCAAACTTCTTCCATCTTCGTGTGGCATAAGCCTTAGCCAGGGAGCTGCCAGTTGGGGGCCTCTAGCATCTATTCCACAGGCCTGTGTTCCTATAAGGCTGGGCACATGGGGCCCCGTGGGGCCACCAGAAGCTGGCTTTTCCTGCAATGGAAGGACTCCTAGGTCCCTTCCCTAGGACCTGCTTGGTCTGGGTGTCTGTCAGGGATCTCCTGCAGGTGGCCAGTGCTGGACGCTGCACTCACATATTCCTGAGCAAAGTCGATGAGGTTTTGGAGGTCAATGTCATCTCGGTAGGCCTTGACGTTGTTGTTGATGAAGAGGTTGAGCTGGTCTCGAATCCAGTCCTTGAAGACAAAGGCCAGGATCCCTGTTGTCAGCTCCAGGAAGAAGATGAGGCCGAGGAACACAGAGAACTAGGTTGGAGGCATACAAATAGTGGGCACTGAAGACACATGGCTCTTGAGGTGCACAGGGCACAGCTCCCCCCTTCCCTCCACCAAGACGGAAGGAAGACCAGAGTCCCCAATCCCTGTCAGTAATTTTAGTACTGCTTACTTCCCACTCCTTCCCGGCAGGGCTAGGGTGTGTGCAGGCTAGGCAAATGCTCTACCACTGTGCTCACTTCCTGCCCCTTTAGTGCCATTTTATGTTTAAAAGGCAGCACTGTTCTTATCTCTCCACCCCAAGTCTGGTTACATCTGCTTTCTTAAGAAACCACTCTCCATGCATCCCTTCAGTTCCAGGGTTTGTTTGTTTGTTTCAGTACTGTGGCTTGAACTAAGGGCCTATGCCTTATGAAGGGTTTTTTCAAGATAGGGTCTCATGGACTATTTTCCTGGGCTGGCTTCCTTCTGATCTCTGCTTCCTGAGTAGCTAGGATTACAGGCGTGAGCCACTGGTGAATGGTTCCAGGTTTTGGATGGAGCCACCTCCACCTCAATCCCCACTCCCATATACCCAGGATGGGTGTGTGTCACCAGCCTACCAATCGGAGCACTACCTCCCAGCCTACAGGGATTGATCCAGAGATGACCAATCAGAGCCAAGGAGATGCAATTAAAGCCTCTGGCAGAAGAGTTGGGAGAAAAGTGCCTCCAGGAGGATCTCCTGGGGGAAGGGAGTACAGGATGAGGACAGCACCCCTTCCAGAGCACCAGCATACCCCAAAGGACTGGAGCCAACCCAGAAGGAGCAGAACTGGAAAACAGGACCTGGCCAAGTGATACTGGCAACCCCTGTATTCAAATACAATGGCCAATGTGACGCCACCTTTTTCACCTAAGCCAATGACTAGTGGCTTCTGTGCTTAGGTACTGGGTTTTGGTCATCAAGAACAGAAGGGACCCTGAGTAACAATAAGCTACCCCATCACTTATTTTATTGCAAGAACAAGATGGCAGGCCGGTGGAGTGGCTCAAGTGGTAGAGCGCCTGTCTAGCAAGCGTGAGGTCCTGAGTTCAAACCCTAGTACCACCAAAAAAAAAAAAAGAACTAGATAGAAAAGAGGTTGGGGTCCCCAGTGCCACTGGGGAGGACTTACAAACTTGAGCAGGAAGGTGTTTTCCCGAAGGGCCCCAATGCAGCCAGCAAAGCCCAACACTGACATGACGCCACCAACCACCACAAACAGCCATACAGGGTCAAGGCCTCCCAGGTCTGTCAGTGCCGAGATGTTGGAGAGGACACCCTGTGCAGGGGAGCAGAGGCAGATGTGAGGGGTGACCTTCCCTTCCCGCTGTCTCACCCCTCAGGTGGCCCCATGCTTTACCCCAATAGCTTACCTTCTCGCCCCAGGCCCAGAGGCCGATGGCCAGGAACAGGGCTCCCAGAACCTGTAAGAAGAGTGACAAAGAGCTCAGGGCTGGACACCAGCAGGACCTTCCCTTATCCTTCCCCAGGAAGGCAAGAGGAATGAGGAAGAGAGGCATGGATGTGAATGGGATCTGGGGTCCTGTTCACCTTCTCCCCACAGGACAGCCCGGAGGACTGAAGCCACCCCAGTCATGGGACAGACAACAGGGTCCTTTCCTGGGGCTTAAAAGTGGGGCGGAAGCCGGGCTCCAGTGGCTCATGCATGTAACCCTAGCTACTCAGGAAGGATGGAAGTTCAAAGCCAGCCTGGGGAAATAATTCAGCAGACTCTATCTCGAAAAAACCCATCACAAAAAAGGTCTGGTGGAGTGGCTCAAGGTGAAGGCCCTGAGTTCAAACCCTAGTTCGGCAAAAAAGAAAAATAGTAGAGCAGAGAATGGCTGAGACAATTCTGCACAGCAGCATACTGAGCCTGGCTCCCACTCCAGGCCCATGCTCAAGTTCAGAGAGCTCGCTGTCTCTCTGGCCCTTCCCCCGTCCTCCTGCTGCCTGCAACTGTGATTGCCATTCTACTCTCAACGCCCTCCATGCCATCCCACCATCTTTGTTCTGTCGTGTGTGCGTGTGTGTGTGCGTGCGTGTGTGTGGCTGGGGATAGAGCACTACCCCACCATCTTAACCTCAACTTCAACTTCTGAGTTAAGAAGGACAGTTCTAGGTAAGATCCTGCTGAGGAGACCCGACTGGCCCTAGAAAATATCTGGCCGCAGTGACGTGTGCCTTCTAAACACTCCACCTGGGCAGTCCCAATGTCCCCTGCACTGTCCTCATCTGTGAGGATCAATTCTTTGCTGGGAAGGCCAGCGACCTTGACATTGTGTCATGATCCTGGGCAGGTCCTTGGACATGCAGTCTCAGAGGAAGAAACTCCACCAGGGTGGAGAGACACTGTCAGCTCCACCCTGAACCGCCCTTCTGGTACTCTCTGAAAATGTCTTCCCTTCCCTCTCCCATGCTGGGTCTGGTGATGTGCCATAAAATACCACTTTTCCTGTCTCTCCCCACCCGATCTGCCCCTAGCCTACAGTCTGGCAACCAAATAGCCTTTCTCTGGTTAACTCACTCCCCGTGCCTCTCCCTGCTGCTTTTCAGACACTCAGGTGTCCCCTCCCCACTGGGCTTCCAACCTCAGCCTCCTGCCCTTCCTCCTCTTCACACTCACTTTCCATTCTAACATGACAGTGGCACCTGCTGATTTCTACCCACACTTCTCCCTGATTCCAGTCCTCCACGTCCACTCTCTGGTCACAAACACCTTGGTGTTCCAGGCACTGTTCCAAGTGCTGGAGATACCCCAGGGAGTGGGACAGACAAGTTCTCAGCCCTCGTGGAACATACACCACAGGGGAAAATAGTGGGCAAACAGGGAAACATCACTTGTCAACAGATCCTTTCAAGAAAGAAAATCAAGTGTAACGGGAGAAGGGAGCACCTCAGCTGAGGTTTGGATGATGAAGAGGAAGGGTAAGAGTATTCTTTGCTAGGCAGAGGGCCTAGCAAAGGCAAGGACCAGACCCCTACAGGACCCTGGAAGCAGGCCACAGAAGAAATGTGCTTTAGGAGCAGTGAAAAAATACAAGGTCCCAAGCAGGTGACACCAAGGTCCACTTAAAACGAAAGCAAAAAAATCCCTGAGCCTGTTTCATAGGCCCCTCCCTTGTGCCACCTTGACCCAAGCCTGAAACCCTCCCCCTGTCCCCAGGGGGCCCAAGTCCTGTCAGTTCAGCCTTGGCACTTTCTTCCCTGGAGCTATGTCCCAGCCCCCTCCCCCATCACACACCCCCTGCTTCTCACCCAATCTTCGCTGGCTGCCCCAACACAGAGCCCAGATGCTCAGCCCACCCGCTGCCCAAGCCCGGAGAAAAGCTGGGTCTCTCACATGTGCTCCCCCTTGCTCATAGCTGTGCCTCACCACCAGCTGTCAACCTGGCTGTGTGACTCTGGGTAAGTGACAATCTCTATTCCTTCAGTCCCCTATCTGTACAATGCAGATAATAATAAGATAGTTGTAAGACACAAAAGCACTAGAATTAATTTACTCTAACAACCCTGAGGAGCAAACTCCAATGTCACCCCTCAGCCTGAAAGCTAAGACCCAGAGAGGGAGGTGACTTGTCCCAGGCCTCACAGCTGGCCGGCCACACCCTGGCCTCCACTTCCCACCCATGCTCCCTGCAGTTGTCCACACCACCAGGAATGAGCACTGCTGAGGCTCAAAGAAACCTACCCTCCCCAGTCACTCCCAACCCCGCGCGGGCACACGCACAAGGGCCAGGGGCTGGAGGACCATGGCACTGAGTCCTGCTCCAAACAAGTGAGAAGGCTTGGCACGCTGACCTAAGGGCTGGGGAGCAGAGACTGAGAAGAGCGAGGGAGAAGGGAAAGATGACTTGGCAGGACCAGGGGCACAGATGCCACCCTGGGATGGGCACTCGCAGCTCCCTTCTCAGAGCAGGGGCCGCCCCACCGGAAGCCTAAGCTCTGGTCCGCTGTGGAATGTTGAATTCTGTTCCCCACGGACAGCTCTAGGGCTCAAAACCGGAGCTCCCTCTCCCGGGGCCTCTCCTCGCCCTCGGGCCGGCGTCGTGGAGGGCCAACTTTGCAGGAGCCTAGGGCAAGGCACCAGATCCAGGGGCTGGAGAGGCAAGGAAGCGTGGGTGGGCCAGCCTCTCCTTCCCACCCGCTAAGCCAAAGGTAGGGTTCGTCCCCTACGAGCGTGCCCCTAAGGTCCCTCCTTCGCCCGGCCTTGAGGAGACTCCCCACCCCCACCCGCGCCGAAGCTGGGTCCCGCCCCCAGCAATCCGGGCCTCTCCCTAGCTCCCGGGGGTGATCCTCGGACGAAGCGAGGGGGTGGAAGGAAGGAGCCGGGAGCCGCAATCTGTCGGAGCAGGGAGGGTCTCCCCTACGAGGCATCTGGACCCCCGTCTCCCACCGCCGCCAGCACCGGGCTGGGAGCACGCTCCACGCTCACCCAGAAGACAATGTTGAAGCTAAACAGGAAGTATTTTCCGCAGCAGCCGACCTCGGGTTCCTGGAAGTGCTGGTGCTTGCCAGGCATGGTGAGCGGCCGTCGTCGGGCCGGAAACCGGAACCGAGGACCGGGCTCGGCCCTCTGCGGGCCGCCCTGGGCTACAGCGGCCCCGGGCCTAGCCCGGCGGCTGCAGCTTCTTCATGGCCGCGGCCACACTGAGCGGCGGCCGGCCCCGCCCGCCCCGCAAGCACCGCCCCCAGCGTTTGGACCGCCACGCCTGGAGCTCGGCTAGGTCCCCTTGGAGCCCCGCCCCCACTCCCATTCGAACCTACCTCTGGCCCCGCCCACACTCCTGCTCGAGTCTTTCGGAGCCCCGCCCCTGGATCTGACTCCGCCCTCTTCCGACTCAGCCTGGCTCGATCCTTCAGAGCCCCGCTTCTTCTTCCTGGCTCCGCCCCCATCCCAACTTAGTCCGGATTCTTTCCCCTGCTGACTGGTCCTCTAGGAGTCAGCCGTTGAGTCCCTGCACTTTACCGCTGCAGCCCGTTCCTAACGTCAGTCATTCAGACCCACCAGACTGCAAGCTTGAAGCACCCCAGATCCCCCAGCCCCGCAAGGCTTAGCACTAACAGCCACACTGCTGGAGCCCATCCCGAGGGAAGAGTAACTGCTACTCCGGTGAGAGGATGGACGTGACCATATTAACATACAAACAGCACCTGTAGTTACAATGGAGTCAGACAGGCATTTCACTCAGCTCTACCCGCTACTGGCTCAAACTCAGGCTAGACGAGGACCTGGGAATAATAGAGCTTCTGTTTTGCTGGGCCTACCTCCACTTCTTGGTTCAAACCTGAGTTGCTTGAACCCCCACCCCCCAACACCACCTCCATACAAGCTAGTTTGGGTCCTGGCCTGGCTCCTTGGTTCCTGGGACTCTCACATGAGCCCCTTCAAGGCAGAACCAGGCAGAGCCAAGTTTTCAGGAGCCTGGATCTGACTCAAAAGTTTAGAGCCCTACTTAATAATTCCAAGCCCAGTGCCCGTGGCTTATGCCTGTAATCCTAGCTACTCAGGATGCAGAGATCAGGAGGATAATGGTTCAAAGCCAGCCCAGGCAAATAGGGAACTATCTCCAATAGGGAACTATCTCCAAAAAACCTTTATAAAAAAGGGCTGTTGGAATGGCTCAATGTGTAGGCCCTGAGTTCAAGCCCCAGTACCACAAATTAATAATAATTTCAAATTTATTCAGAAGTATTTATTTAGAACAGACAGGGAAAGGTTGCTTAAGCTTTCAATCAAGTGAATTGGCCTCTAACAACCATGATGATAGCCTGAAGGTGTGGCTCAAATGGTAGAATCCTGAATTCAAACCCCAATACCCAATCTGTCCCCCATCCCCGCCCCCCCCCAAAAAAAAAAAAACGCCATGATGAGGTCTCCATCCCCATCATCTCCCATCCTGGGGCTTGAGGCTTATCGGCCCACCTCCACTTCAGCATGGCTCTAAGGCAGGAGAAGTATGGACAGCTGGCTGGCCCTGTGCACAGATGAGATGCGAGAGGCTGTGCCGGGCTTCCTCCATCTTCATTGCTCAGTTATCTCTGTAGAAATGACAGCGTTCTCTCTCTAACCATCCAGCCCTTGGGGTGGGAGGCAGAGAGAGCAGCCCCACTCCAGGGACCCAGCCACAGCTAGTCTAGAGAAAGGATAGGATCCAGGTTGGGAGCAGAAACACAGAGCTGGTCAGAGGCAACCCATAAAGGTTTTAAGCACTGTGCTCACAAAAAAAAGCCCCCGCCTCTGAACTCCTGCTCTCAGAATAGCGGTGGCCTTGAGTCCCCTCCCTCAAAATGAAAGAGCCTGGCCCTTGGGCTGCCCGGACCCCTGCCCAGAGGGCACAGAGAAACTGTCAGACAATAGGGTTCTCCTGTCATCTTGATTGACCCCTCCTTACCCCTTCCGTCTCACCCAGGACTTTCCTCTACCCTCCTTACCCCTTCCGTCTCACCCAGGACTTTCCTCCACCCTGTCAACATCCTGTGGCCACAAGCAAAGCTAGTGCCTCAGCCTGCTCTTCCTGCTCCTCTACAATCACACATGCCTCTAAGCCTGGGACCAGCTCATGTTAAAAAATGTCCTTATGAAGCCAGGTGTGGTGCACACGTGTAATCCAGATACTCAGGAGGTAGAGGTAGTAGGATGGAAAGTTTGAGGACAGGCCAGGCAAAAAGGTCACAAGATCCTATCTCAAAAGCAAAATGAAAAAAGGGCCAGGGGTAGAGCACTTGCCTAGCAGGCATGATGTCCTGGGTTTAATCTCCAGTAGGGAAAACTTTTTTACTTTTATGAAGCCGAGTGTGATGGCAACCTATTGTAATCACAGCTACTCAGGAGAATTGTTTGAGCCCAGGAGTTCAAGGCCAGCCCGGGTAACATCAAGAGACCCCATCTCAAAAAAATAAAAGTGTTCGCTTGCACTGCAGGGCAGGTGCGAACCAGGCCGTCTTCCCCTCAGTCCTGCCCAGGGACAACAGATACACCAGCTTCCCCCATACACTGGCAGCAGCAACAGACTCAGAGGGTGGCAAGGCCCCCCCCTCACACCACAAACTTGTTCTTGGCTAAGGAGTTGCTCTTGGAGGCTGTGTCTGCGTGGGCCTGGTATCCAATAATGGTCTTCATAGAAAGGCCCAGGCGCTCTTTGTATACACGCCTGGGGAGGACAGAGGAAAGACAACACTGGTAGTCAGCAGAGGGTCCTGGAAATGACTAGGTCCAGGTCCTTTGCCCACCAACCCCTACTCTGTGGTTCTAGCCACAGCTTCTCACATCTTGTCTTAGCCATGTGGAAACCCAAAATAGGACCCTTGCATGCAAAGAGTTCTGCTAGAGATAGTTTGAAGTCTAGACTCATCCCGTTTATACAGGTGGGTAAGAAAGGGGAAGAGGGTATCAGGTGCCAGTGTTCATGTCTATAATCCCAGTTACTCAGAAGGCATAGATCAGGAGCATCACAGTTCCAAGCCATCCCAGGGGAAGTAGGTCATGAGACCCTATCTTGGAAAAAGCCATCACTAAAAAGGGCTGGTGGACTGGCTCAAGCAGTAAGAGCACCTGCCTAGCAAGCGTGAGGCCCTGGGTTCAAACTCCTGTGCCGGCAAAAAAAAAAAAAAAAAAAAAAAAGCGGGGGGGAGGAGAAGGGTACAGAGAGCTCTAGTGGTCTCCCTTGCAATCCAAGCCACCCTCCCGAAGAGACAAGCTCCCTACTCTGTCCCCACCGCCACCAAAGATGCCCCTACCCTATGTGCAGCACGGCAGCCTGGTTCTCTGCCTCACTCGTCCACACAGCAATTTTGTCCCCTTTGGTGCGGATGTTGATGACGGCCCCACACACCTCCCTGCCATGCTCCTCAAAGCTCTCTCCAATCAGACACAGCAACTGTACCCGAAGCAGGGATGGTGATACATCCGGCTGGGGCACAGGGGCTGCCCTGCCACCCCTACCAGCCTCCTCCCCAGCTCCACCACTCACCGTCTCTAGCCACAGCCGGTCCAGCTCGATGTGGCGCTGCTGCTTGGCCAGACTGACCAGCCAGCGGCCACCTCGCTTGTTTCTGCCATCCTCCCACATGGGCTGGATGCCATCCTATGGTGGGGGGCAGTCAAATGCCTCCCTTTATTCAAAGGGAAGTGGGGACCCCACTTCCTTTGCATACACAGACCATACCCTAAGCCCAGCCCTACACGGGCCAGCTTCTGTCTTACCCTTGTCCCCTCATAGAAGCCACCACAACCACACAACCCAGCAGACCCCCTCCGAGCCCCACAGTCCTGAGTCCCACTACTGTCAACCTGCTACAGCCTTGTCCCTGAACCAAATTCCCTAAGACAGGAGTTTCAATTGGGTGGGGGTGGGGCTTCAGGGAGCCATGTACAAGGGTAGATATCCCAGGCTTGACTACGTGGGCCCCAAACTCACTGGGCAGAAGTCACTTGGGGAAACCCCTTAGTGTTGATGTCACCAGGAATGGGGCTGGACATAAGGAGTGTCCCTGGGCAGTTCTGACGCTGGTGCCTCGTTCAGGAGCAAGGCAACTTCCTCGATGCTCCGCCCTCTTCCAGATCTCTTTTCTGGTGGTACTGGGCTTTGAACTCAAGACCTTCCATTTGCTAGGTGCCCTACCATTTGAGTCCTGTCCCCGCCCTTTTTTACTTGTGCTTTGTTTTTTCAGATACAGTCTCATGCTTTTTGCCCGGGCTTCCCTCAAACTGACAACCTCCCATCTCCACTTCCCAAGTAATCCGGCCAGACACTTGCAAGCTGTCTTCAAGGCACAGCTCAGGCTTGACACTTTGTCCATCCAGGTTTCTGTACATCAGTTCCTCCAATGAGAACTAACCTCTGCCCTGAGAGCCCACCCCACAGCCCCCCAAAAGGGAGAAGCTGAGACAATCAGTCCCTTCCCCTGGCCCTTTGGGGGAGGGGGCACTGGAGCCGAGCTTACCTTGAACAGGGCATAGTCGCAGCCAGAAGAGAGCTTACTGGCCAGCTGGATGTGACTGTACATCCTAGAGAGAAAGAGAGAGCCCACCCAACACGGGAGCCATGTCTTTGAAGAGCCTGGTCCAGTGACCTTGATCTTCTGACTCCTCACCAAGCCCTTGCCACACTGTTCACACCTTCCAGCTTCTTCTCAGCCTGGCCCTGCAGCCTGGAATTCTGTTGTGTGTCCCCTTCTGGCCTCAAACCCAACGAAGCTGCACCTGGGGACCCTGGAGCCCGGCTGGAGCCTATCATAGGGCTATGCCTCACTTCTCAGATCTCCCCCATTATCATGCACAAGACACCACCAAGGCAGCCGAACCCTCACCTTTCTGCTGGGTTCAGCAAGGGAAGGAAGTTGTGCAGGCCACAGAGCCATAGACCTTGGCAGCCAGGGTCCACACCTGCTTCTCTCACTCCCCAGGTCGCCTCCAGGGGGTGGCTGTGCCCTCTGGCTGGCACCTACCAATCCCCAGCCCTCAACAAAGGCTGAAAGGCCCCTAGGAGGGTGCTATAGCAGCATAGCAAGTAGAGTCCTAGCTCCAGCCCCCTGAGGGTAGGCACTCACCCCCAGAAGTCCTCCACAGTGTCAACCTTGGCGACCAAGTGCAGATTGTCCTGCCAGGCCCGGCTGCGGTCATTCTTGAAGAACCACAGAGCCCACCTGGTGGGGGAGAGGAAGCAGAGGGCCTCCCCTTCAAGGACAAATTAGGAGATAGGATTTGGGGCACAGACACCCTCCCCAAGGTGACTGAAGGGCATTGGGGGAGGAGTGAGAGAGGAAGGGTCACCCAAGGCCATGCAGCCAGCAAGCATGGAGAGTGGCCTGACAGCAGAGGTCTGTGTTCAATGCTGCAGCCCCCCACCTACCTGTTCTGCAGGGGGTGCAACTCTATCTTGGCCTCCCTGCGGTTCTCACTGTGGGCCTTCCCCCTCAGAGTCCTGGGAACACTCAGAGCCTCCTCTCCTATGGACTCCCCCATGGCTGCCTCCTCTTGCTCTTTCTTTTCCTCCTTCTTCTCTTTTTCCTCCTTCCACTTTGGGATTCCATCCTCAGCTCTGCCTGCCTGACCAAAGAAAGGAATTAGGGTGGACCGTAAGCCCTGGCTGCCCCCACACCCACTGTGTACCCTAGCTGGTCACTTGCTTCAGAAGAGACAGGCAGAGGGACTTACAGGGCTGGAGGTAGCCATGCCAACACTCAATCTCCACTGGAACCCAGCATCTAGCAAACCACAGCTGCTGGCTTTTAACCCACCAGCACCCACCAGCCCCACCTGTGCAGGGCCGGAGAGCGAGGGGCAGCTTAGCAGAATCCTCCCATGTGTACGTGGGTATTTACGGAGTGCCTTTTGAGGCAGGGCTCACGACACAGCTGTGACAAGGTAGACCCAGCCTCTCGCAGTGGGTCTGCCTTCAGAAATGAAGGGTCAATATTTAGTCTCTGTCCTTAGGGAAAGTGGTGTCTGCATCCTGTTGGGAGTAGCCCCTGAATTTAGAGCAGACCACCCACAGATGGCCACAGCAGCAACACTGCCATTGCCATGGGCCATCCATCTGTAGCCACTCACCCCTCCTGTTGGCCACCCACCGCCATCGGCTTGGGCTTTTATCTGGTCTCTCAAAACATCTGAGGCTTTTTAAGTATAAACCATTTGCTACCATTTAGGAAGAAGGAGGGTTTTTTGTTCATTTGTTTGAATGATCTAATTTTGTCTTTTTGGCGGGGGGCAGTACTGGGGTTTGAACTTGGGGCCTTGCACTTGCTAGGCAGGTGCTCTACCACTTGAGTCACTCCACCAACCCTTTTTGCTTCGGTTATTTTTTTTAACTTTTTTTGGGGGGGAGGGTGGGACTGAGCTTTGAACTCAGGGCTTCAAGCTTGCAAAGCAGCCTGAAGCCACACCTCCAGTCCATTTTGCTCTGGTTATTTTGGAGGTGGGGTCTCACGAACTATTTGCGCAGGCTGGTCCCGAATCACGGTCCACCTGATCTCAGCTTTCCACGTAGCTAGGATTACAGGCGTGAACCACCATGCCTGGCTTTTTCAAAAATGTTTTTTTTAGTATACAGTAGTTATACAGGACGGGGCAGGGGGGGGTGTTTATTGTGAGAGGGAGGTTTTATATTACAGCATCCACTTTGTCCAGCACCACCAGGCCCTGGGCCTCACAGGTCCCCATCTGTCACGGGGCTGCCCTGAGGAAATGCACAAAAAGCCCCACACGGTCCCACCATTCTTGCCCCATCTGAGCATTCTCCACCCAGGCATCAACTGTGAAGCACAGTCATACAATCTGGGTTCAAGTCCTGCCCTATCCTGACCTCAGTCAGGTTGCTGAACTGGCTGAGCCTCAGTTTCCCCATCCATACAATGGAATATTAGCACATGCCTCAGAACCTTGTCGCATCAGGTGATGTGAATCACGTCAGGTCCACAAGGTAAAAATAAGGCCTGGCTCAGGACTCACAGGCACAGCCCCTTCATTCCCACACCAGGGGGAGTCCATCATCAGCTGGAGGCTGACAGTCAACATTTGCTCAGTCCACATTCTTAACCTCACCCTGGCATTTGCCAGGAGCAGGACTGGGGGCCCAGGATGCAAAGCTGAATGATGGATGAGGGCTGGGATGTAGCCAGTGTAGCCGAGACCCTGGGTTCCATCTCCAGGACTACTGGAAAATTAAAAAAAACAAAGAAGTATGAAGCCCTGAGTTCAAATCTCAGTTCCACCAAAAAAAAAAAAAGAGTAGCCTCTGCTTTGTCAGAGGGGGTGACACTAATCACATGACCTCCCAAAGACCTGAAAGAAAGGAATTCTGGGATAGGAGAAAGTCCAGTTCCTGAACTGGGGCTTTATTTTTGCTTTTTTTTTTTTGGCAGTACTAGGATTTGAACTCAGGGCTTCATGCTTGCTACACAGGCACTCTACCACTTGAGTCACTCCACCAGCCTGAACTGGGGCTTTGAGCACCAGTTCTCAGGGACATGGATCAGAGCAGCGGGCAGGGCTTATTAAACACACTGCTAGTCCTTCCTGGTTTCTGACTCCATAGGTCTGGGCTCCAGCCTGAGATTTGCACTTCTAGCCAGGTCCCTAATGATGCTGGTGAGGACTCCGTTTTGAAAACCTCTGCATTAGAGGCAATTCGTTCCCTGAACTGAACTGAGACCTAAGGTGGGAGGGAGAGGAAACTAGGAGGGTGAGGTGGGCGCTGCAGGGAGTGGGAGCCGCAGTGTATGTGCAAAAACCCTGAGGTAGCTGGGTGCCAGTGGCTCATGCCTGTGAGGAAGCAGAGATCAGGAGGATCATGGTTCAAAGCCAGCCCAGGCTAATAGTTTGCAAGACCCAATCTCGAAAATACCCTTCACAAAAAAGGGCTGGTGGAGTGGCTCAAAGTGTAGGCTGAGTTCGAATCCCAATACCGGAAAAAAAAAAAAAGCCCTGAGGCAAAGGAGCATGGGGTACTGCAAAAAGAGAAGGGATCCATGGGGGAGGAGATGGGTAAGTCTTGATCCTAGCAGCAGCGGGAGACCACCGAGTGCTTCCAGTGGGTGCAGCAGGGCCGGGAGGCAATCCCATGTGCAGGTTCTCTGGACACCTTGTAGAAGCCTGCAGTTTCAAGAGTGAGTGGGAGGACATTGATCAGGATGCTAATGTGTGTCCAGGTGACAGATGGGGGCAGAGAAGATGGAGATGGTTTATGAGGTATTGAAAAAGAAAACATCTGGGACATAGCTCAGGTGAACCCTCACACTGGGTTCAGCTCCCAGTACTGCAAAATAAAGAAATCTAGCTGAGCATGGTAGTGCGTGCCTGTAATCCCAGCTACTCAGAAGGTCACATCCAAAGCTGGCCAGACAAAAAACAAACTAAAAACAAAAAGACTGGGGTGTAGCTTGAGTGGATGAGTGCTTGCTTAGCATATGCAAGGCCCTAGGCTCAATCCTCAGTGCCCAGGGAAAAAGAAAAGGGATGACAGGTCACATGCACAACCCCTCTAATAATCATAGACTTTAATTCCTGCATTTTGTTCACAACTCTGTTATTTGGGCATCACCAGGCGGGCCGGCTCATCTGACAGCTGGAGGCATCTGTCACCCACAGCTGGGGCAGTTGGTGCTGGCTGCCAGCTGGAACCTCAGCTGGGGACTTCCGGCTGGGTGGCTCTGGGTGGCCTCTGAGGGGCTGCTTGGCTTCCTCACAGCAAGGGTGCCCAGGACATGACGCATCCCAGGACACAGGAAGTAAAAGCTGCCAGAGTCGTGAGCCCTGGCCTGAAACGACTGACCCTGGGCTCAAATGCAAAGCAGGGGGGACACGGCCCACTCCAAGACAGGAGCGGAGGGGTTCAGATGGAGGCCACACAGGAGGAGGCCCAGGTTTGGGGGGCAATCGTGAATGTCGATTTGATGGAGAAAGAGAGGAAGGACCCTCCCCAAGGAGACCTGGCCTGGTCTCAGCTGTGTTGGAGTCCTGGCCTGAGCCTGGACTACACAACGCCCACTGTGGCTTGTCAATGGGGAACATCTTGGTGGGGCTCTTAAGCCCAACTCTGCCATTCTGTCCAAAACGCTCTCATCTGCCTGTTCCTTGCCCCCTCCCACTGTCCCCACCTCAGGCCTTAGTCTTTTTTTTTTTTTTTCGGTACTAGGGTTTGAACTCAGGACCTACACCTTGAGCCACTCCACCAGCCCTTTTTTGTGATGGGGTTTTTCAAGATAGGGTATCATGAATTAATTCACTGGTCTGGCTTTGAACCTTGATCCTCCTGAGCACTGCCTCCTGAGTAGCTGAGATTACAGCTGTGAGCACCAGCACCTAGCTTGAATGAGTCTTTGTGACCATTCCCCTAGCTTCCACTCTTGCCTCCTTTCAGAACATTCTCCACCTACCTCTGAGGGATCGTCTGATCACTTATTTATTTAGAGCCCTCTGAGACACCCAGGATGTGATCCAAAGGTCAGGATCACAGCCTGCATGATCCAGCCTCACAGTGTCCTAAGAGCACAGTTCTTCAAATAGGTCAGGCTCCATCCTGCCTCGGGGCCTTTGCACTTGCAGAAGTGCAAAAGTGGCTGTGTTTCTTTACATGGTTAATTTCCCCTCCTGGTCCTTCGGGGCTCAAGTGTCACTTCCCGGGCCACCCTACCTAGAAAGGATCACCATCCCCTCTTCAACCCATCACTCTGTCTTATTTCTTTCTTAGTGTTCCTTTAACTATTCATTCAACAAAGACTCACCTACCAGGTACTCTGTGCCAGGCACTGTTTTGAGCTCTGGGAGCATAGCAGAGGAAATTGATGGCTCCTTCCTCTTTGCTTTGGAAAGACACTTGTGGCTGCTGTCTGTCCTGCCCACTTTTTTTTTTTCAGTACCAGAGTTTGAACTCAGTGCCTACACCTTGAGCCACTCCACCAGCCCTTTTTTTTGTAATGGGTATTTTTGAGATAGGGTCTCCTGAACTATTTGCCTGGGCTGGTTTTGAACCGTGATCCTCCTGACCTCTGGCTCCTGAGTAGCTGGGATTACAGGTGTGAGCCACCAGTGCACCACTCACTGCAGATTCTGACAAGAACTACACAATTGTGGATTGTGTTGCTCACGGTCTGGCCCAGCCTACTCGAATGGCAAATTTCAAAAGAATGATGACTTCGTTGATCTTGTTTCCCGCTGAGTCTGTGCGTGGACCTGGAAGACACTGACTGAAATGACTACATCTTATATGTCTGTGAGATGAGTGACATCTGCTTGCAGATCATCTTCTGTGCTGGAGGTCCTGGCACACAGTAGGTGCTCTATAAATGTTGCCTACTTCCCTCCCTATTCCAAGCCTCCCATCCTGCGGGCCCTGCAGGGAGCCTGCCTGCCCACCTGTCTTCCTGCCCAGTCCACATCTCTGCAGCAGGAACGTGGGTACAGCCAGGCTCCAAGCAGGGTCCTCTAGTACATCTGGATCTGGCAGAAACAGGCAGGACAGGGTCCCCGGGTCCCCTTCAGAGAACTCTGCTCAGCTACTCCAGCCGGATTTTCCCCAAAGCCCCCACAGTCTGCCACCCCCCCCACAAAGCTCCAGTAGTCACTCTCCTAGGTCCTCCCTTAGCAAGGGAGGAGATAGAGGGAAAGGCTGATCGTCCAGGCAGGACAGACAGGACAGAAGAACTCTCGGTACAGCCTGGCCGGAAGAGAAGCAGCCTGAGTTTTGCTGTCCTGAGGGGGATGAGCAGTGTGGCCTGGTGAATCTGTTGTGCTACGATGTCAGGATCCACGCCCCCTTCTGGAGAGAGAGAGAGAAAAGAAAGATGCAGAAAATGGTAGTCTGTATTCATTCTGCTTGCCTTGCAACTTTTGTGTAGGTTTTATTCATTGTGTTATTCTCCCAACTTTTCTCTAGGTTTGAAATTTTTCAGAATAAAAACTCTGGGGGGAAGAAATAGTGACAGAGATGTCAATAATAACCGTAGTCCTCACAATTCTATTCTGGAAAGTCAGCAAAATTACCATATTTCCCAACCTCCCTGCAGGTAGCCAGTGAAACAGAAGGAAAGAAACAGACCTACCTGGCATGTGCTCTTTTTTTATTACCCTACTTCCT